GAGACTTTAGTCTTTGCAACTTCAGGGATCTTATCTATGCACAATCAGCTTGTAACACTCCAAAGAGAAAAGAAAACTTGAAATCGCATCATATGACCCCTTTAAGTAGTGATTGTGTTTTTCAGCAATAGTGTGCACCCTTAATTCACAGAGAAAAGAAGGTCAGGAAAAATCTCCATACATGTTCTTTGTGCATTTTTCTTTTTTTCTACTTGTTACTTTGCACTTTTTGTTAGAAAATGTATATTTACTATTTATTCTGGGACAATATATTGCACAACAAAAAGTTGTTATCGTGACAGGCCTAATAATGGCCTGCGATTTGGATATGGTAAATATTATCTTTAAACATACTTAACACATGAATGTCCAACAAATTAACAGGAAGCAATATCAACCGTGATTTTTAACATTTCTTCAACTCATAATTATAAATCAATCAATAAATAAATAAAATTTCAATTATGATAACTGGACGATATAAAGGAGATATATATAATATTACACTTCATTTAAATAAGTTGATGCGATGAAATTTAGATTTTACGTATTTACTAAATTAAAAACAATTGTAAAATTAATCTATGAAACAAATTATTTGAACTTGATAAAGAAAAATCTGTAAAATAAACAGATTCATGCTTTATCAACTCCTTGACTCTGTAATCCTAATATAATATTTTTTCGCAAATAAAGAAACGGGTAAAAAACAAATAAAAAAAGAAACACTGCAACCATCAGTGCACTCTTTAATATGGTAAGTTTGTGTGCAATGAGAATCAAATTTTCTCAAATAAAGAGTTTGTAATGCTAATTTTACATACAGTACACAGTGAATTATGATATGAATATGACATATCGGCAAAGTAGATAGAGCACAGCATAGTTTGAAATCATCGATTTAAATATTACGCTATCATCTCACACGCTCACTACCATTCTTAGTGCTGTCAAAATAAAAGTCCCGTCACTGTCAAAATAAAAGCTGGTTATCAGAAGAACGTGCCAAGAAAACAAAAAACAAATATTGGCTGATATATCGGCCTTGCTGATATATATATTGGTCAACAGCAATTCACATAATATTTATTATACATATTTAACAAGTAGCCTACAGAATACCAGTATTCCAGAAAACATGAAATACTAGCAAACCGAGAATCATATTTTATCAAATAAAGACCAGGTAATGCAAATGTAACATACAGTGCCGTGACAAATGACATGAATATGACATATTGGCAAACTGGATAGAGCGCATCACTGTCAAAATAAAAGCTGCTTATCAGGAAAAACTTGCAAAATATCGGCCGATATATCGGCCTTGCTGATATATATCGCTCAACAACCATTCATATTATATAACATATTTGTACAGTACGCTAGTATTCCATTAGAAAACATGGTAAATGTGGCATAAAAGCAGGGTAGACTAAACCGAGGAGCTCTCTGTGCACTTAATTCAAATGTGTAAGTCATACGCATAGCATTAATGCTAATGTAGGTTATTATATACCATTTCAACGATCAGAGAAACAGATATGTTATGCAAGACATGTCAGTCCAGACCGCCAGACAGAACTGATAAAACGAGCAGCAGGGAGATTCAGCATCACCGGCAGGCCTTTATAAAGGTGTCTGGTTGTTTCATTCAAATAGTTTTGCACCTGGTATCAGAGCAGTTGGTCTAATTCAATACGGGCCTAATGTTCCTCCTGCCAGTGAGGAAACGAGTGGTTACAGCATCTGTGGGACCATGTGACACACACTGGCTTCCTATTAAAACAGTAAGACATTAAGCATTCAGCTCTGGAGAGCGTGTGCTGTATCAACAGCTTCTGTTAATTACGTCAGCCATTTATATCTTTAGTTCATGTCAACATACTTAATGACATGTCTGGACTGACCGTCAACAGCCATCGTGAAATTATATTCACACTGTCAATGCAATGCCACAGAAATGCATCACAGTAACTCGAAAATAAAGATACAATATTTTTATCTCAGAATAAACATTCTTTTTTCATGACTAAACTCATATGTAGTCAGATTTCACATTTCTTTGTCTATTTTTACATATATAGCCACAAAAGCACCCACAGGCCACTAGAAATACAGTGGAAAAATTCAATGCCACAAAGCTAAATTTGTTGCATGCAAACAGTGGCTTTTCCTCCAACAGGATGGGCATCTCATCTCATCGACGCACCATTCAAAAGTCACAACAGCAGACAGACACCTTTACTTTGACCTCTGAGCATTATCTTTGCAGGAAACCTCTGATGGGTGATGGTAAAGAACAGATGGCTGGCTCTTCACTATATGACTGTGTGGCCCCAAAGCCACCCACCCAGGTGACAAAGGGCCAAAGCATCTGAAGAGAACGAGTTTCTGTTGACTTTCCTCTAGTTAACAGCACTGATTAACTAAAGACAAATGCACTGATTGTGTCTTTCATAGTAGAGGGGTTTCCTTCTGCTCTGGTGGGATTTTCGAAGCACAATCAATGTTTTTTGGTATTATTGAGTCACATAATAGTTTGTATTAATATTTTGAATTACTTTTTATTTATCTATTTTCTATTATTTTCATTTGATTTAAATTTAGTTGTGTGGTTTTGTCATTTTTTTAACATTAGTGTTATATTAGTATCATTGCAATAAAAATACAATATATTGCATTTTTAATAGTTAAATATATATATATATATATTTTTTTGTCATTTTATGTATA